ACCCTGTTCTGTCATACTACAAGGCCTTGTAGCCAGGCTAAAACTTCTAGCACAAGATAGGGGGATTTGTTTGTTTGTTTAAAACAAAAAAAAAAAAAACAACTGATCGGCCTGAAGGAAAACAACACTTATGCCAGCAGAAACACTGTATGGAGGTCTCCCGATAAAAATGTAGCCTCCATCCGTCATCAATAAATCCAATAGAACATCCAATCAGCTCAGAACCCTATTATTAAACGGCAACAGTGAGCTGAAAGTCAGATGTTTGAAGAAAGAGATTCTTCCAAAGGCGGAAAAGAAGCATCTCAAAATTCACAGTGACCCTGAGGTGAACAAAGAGTGCCTACCACCCAATAACGTATTCGGAGAGCTAACAGAAACCGTGTACGCATGGCGAGAAGACACGGCCATTATCATAAAACGAAGGCAATTTAAGTAGCAGGAAGACCTCTTGGATAGGAGATGGTAGTAAACATCTTTCAACGGAATGGGGGTAATTGCAGAACCATCCCCTCATAGAATAAAGTGTAGAGTGGAAGATGATAAGGAAGAAGACAAAACACCGAAGAAATAATGCGAGAAAGCAAAGTAGAACGTCACAACCTGACATCCCAATCTGACAGTCACGCTGAGCTCCCAGCATGACTGTCAGAAAGAACACCGCTAAAGCACGCCACACAAAATGTGAACATCACAGGTAGAAGAGAGGAGAGAAAAAAGAAATATATTTAAAAGATGAGCAATGAGTATGTTTAGAAGTTTCTCATGTTCTCAAGTGGTAGCGGGTATAGAGACAAAAAAGAAATTCCTTATTGAATACCGAGGACATATGACCTCTATCAAGCTGGTAATCGAGGATGGAGTGGAAAACACAAAGAAAAAAGAAAAGGTTGACATTACCCTTGCATGTATATATAGATGTACGCATATACACATATACATAGTATATACTGTATCATATTTATACACACTAATGAATATGTATGTGTGCATGTATGTGTGGGAGAGAGACAGAGAGAGAAAAAGAGAGAGGGGGAGAGAGAAAGATCATCTTTATGGGGAAGAGATGTGTTCAGCTTCTTTAGATTATTTAGCCTCATTGCTTTTTTAAAAAATAAAATTTTCCACAAGGAAGGTCTACAAGCCAGAATATCTGTGGAAGGAAGAAAATATCTGTATGTCAAGTATGGCAATAATTTTATACATGCAAACATATACTCGTGTGTGTGTTTGTGAAGGGTACAGTAGACACAAGCTTTCTAGTAGAACTGTTTTTTTAGACATGCCCGTGTGCACAGCTGCGCATATTGTCTCTTCCAAGAGTCCTGTGCACACGACAACATCCTGGATCATAAACCGCCAATGAGAGCTGTGAATCTTCTAAAAGGCTTATAAAAATATTATGTTTTTGAAAGAGGAGGGTAATTGTAGGTCTGTACCTTTCGCCTCTTTTTGCCCAATTGCTGCTTAGAATGCAGATATAAGAATAAGAGATGCAGTAGCCAGCACGAGACCAAAAGGAAGTGAATGTAAATGCAGAAGCCAGCATCTAAGAATGGAAGATACAAAGGATACATAGTACCTCTGATTATAGCATTGGCCTGTAAAACCCGTGAAACCACTCTTACACTGTTCATTTCATAGTGGCTTTTCACGCCAAAAAAAAAAAAAAAACCTGCTTCAAGAATAGTTTCTGTTATTTGCAACTAAAAGCAGCCTTCATACATTCACAAGTTATCAAAGAACTATCTTGGCCTAGAGAGATGGCTCAGCAGTTAAGAGCACTGGCTGTTCTTCCTGTGGACTCAGGTTCTGTTCCCAGCATCCACACCACAGCTCACAAACGGCTGTTGAATCTAGTTCCAAGGCATCTGGTGCCCTCTTCTTGCCTCTACAGAACACGACACAAAGCATGAACATAGTGCAAACATACATGCAAGCGAAATATCCATACACATAAAGTATTTTTTTAAATGTGTACCATCCAAATACTCTTTCTCAGAAATTTCTAGAACATGTACATCACATTTTTTTTAAAGGAAGGAAGAAAAAGCTATGTGCTCAGAAAAGAAATGAGGCAATATAGAAGGATATGAGAGAACTTCCCAGGCTCTTGGGTAAGGATAGCCCTGGAGCAATTGCTGAATCATGTCTCTAAAGGATAACCAGTTTGTGGGACTGGGGAGATAGCTCCATTGGGAAATTGCTTGCTGTGCAACCATGAGGACATGAGTTCAATTGCCAAAATCCACTCAAAAAGTTCAGCTTGATGGTGTGTGCTTGTAATTCCATGGCTAAAAGCAGCTTTAGGTAGAGCCCTAGGGCTTACTGGTCAACCAGTCCCACTACTTGATGCATTCCAGCCAGTGAGAGACACTGTGAGTGGTACTTGAGGATTGACACTGGAGACTGTCTTCTGTCCCTACATGTACCCTCCCCCCACACAACTCTCATACACATAGATGACCACAAAAGTAACATGAGGATTCAAGGAAAGATTCACCCAGGAAAGGAAACTCACATGATCTGTTCAGGATGGACTGCTGTAATGAGTCTTTCTCAGTCCCGCCAATGCTGACACGGAAACTTCTTATTGGTTAGGAAAGCTCAGCCTATAGCTTAAGCTTGTTTTTAACTAGCTCTTATAACTTAAAGTAGCCCATTTATTTTAATCTATATTCTATCATGGGGCATTGCCTCTCTTTCATCACGCACCTTCTGTTTTCTCTTTGTCTCCTGGCATCTCCCTCCTTGCCTCTATTCCTCCTCTCCTTTTCTCTCTGCCCGGAAGTCCCGCCTAACCTCTTCCTGCCTAGTTATTGGCTATTCAGCTCTTTATTAGACCAATCAGAGGCACTTGGGCAAAAAACACATCTTTACAGTGTACAAAGAAAGGTTATTCCACAACGGACTGTATTAACATTGGTGACAGTGAGAACACCCCATGTAAGGACAAGAGGAACAGTAAGGCTGTAAGTAAGCTACAGAGGGGCAGGATGATGACGGCAGCTGGATGGGAAGGTGTAGAAATGGAAGGAGCAGGGGAGAGGGGAATACACCTTTGTAGTTGGTGGCTTATGTTGTGAAAGGGAGGCTCAGGGGTGATGTGTCAGCATGAGGCATCAGGAAAAGGCAGCAGACATCACTGCAGTGGGAAAGATTGCTACCAGTAGAGGACTTGGGATCCAGGAGTCTGTTTTGGACTTGTTTGGGCTGAGCTGTGCTGGAGCTCATGGCAATGAACGAGGTTACAGTCAGATTCAGGATATGCTCAGCCCTCAACAAGTAATGATCCCTGTCTTCTGCCAACATGAATAAATGTTTCATGTGTTTGCATCTTAAACATCTTCCGTGACACAGTTTGGGGCATGGGTTGAGATTTGATCCCGAGATTCCAAGTGTAAACATAACATGCCGTGAACTTGGAATATTAAACCACAATACTTAAAGCCACTAAAAGTGTGTTGGCCTTAAAAACTTTGCTGAAGCTGTCTCTATCCCAATGCAGGGCTCTGTCTACCAAAGCTGCAGCCATGAAGTAATAACACTCCCCCCCAATAATTCCGCACTATTAGCTTTATTTAATAAACATTTGCCTCTAAAAAAATATCAGCTGTGCTCGGACTTCTGTTTATGTGTGTGAAGCTTGTGCCAAGGTTCAGACCCACCTCAGGCATACTTTGAATCTTAGTTTACATGTTTCTGAAGTACAGTTGCTGTAAAACCTTCAAAGGAAACAGTTTGTACAAAACTGTCTCAAAAACACCTTTGACTTCGGTTTTCATCTGCAGGTCCCAGAGTTCTCTAGTCTTCGGCGTTGTTGTCTTTCTCACTGATACCACTTTGATTGTGCAATTGTTTAATTTAATCACCAATTTGCCATGTTGGTTTCTATAACTGTATATTTATATTATTTATATTTGTGGGAGCTGGGATTTGGTGACATTACGGCAGACACGCTGAGGTGGAGGGTAACAGTGACAACTGGGAAATAAAACCTTTCGTGTTGGAAACAGTGAACGACGGAGGGCTAGCAGCTGAAAACCAAATGCCTGTTACATAGAATCACAGAAACCTGAGTCTGAGGCTAACGCGAATTATTCATTGGTGAACAGCGCCCCTAGCGGCAGAAGGGAGCCAGCAGCGATGGTGACCAGGGAAGCTCCCGAATTTTAAAAAGGCACCTGCTGTGAGTTCTCATTATGCAAACAGGCTCCACAGGTGCCCGGGCTTTAAGAAGCTTCAACTCAGGAAAATACAAGTCTGTAAAAAAACGCCTTAAATGTATGCACTTTCGTTTAACTCCGAAGTGGGTTCTCGCTCTACACGAGGTCTTGATGTAAGCGATTATTTATCACCTAGGATGAGTAAGAGGGACGGAAGAGTTCTGCTAAAGTTTGATCGCTACTGACAATTAGGGCGTGAAGCGGGAGATCCGTTAGGGACGACGTGGGAGAGGAAGTCAGTTAAAACAAAAAAAGTAAAGACCGCTGCAGGGACACACCCGTGTGTGCTTGTTTGCGGGGCAGGAGGGGGATCATCTGCGTGGCCCCGTGCGTCCCTCAGCTGTGTCAAGGCGGTGGTGGAAAGGAAACCTCGTGGGGGGTTGACTCTGACGCTGGGTGGGGGAACTCGCTAACCCACCGGATCAGTAAAACTACCCTAAGCACACCCTCTCAGGCGACACGTGTAACTGTCAAGACACTGAAAGAGCCTTGGGAACAAATGTCACTCCAAGACGGGAGGCTGTGCCATTTCATCCAGACACTAGCTGTTCCAAGACCCTAAGTCAAGTGTCTTCTCCGTACACACATCCCCAACCCCCGGAGAGGGCACCTGGCAGGGGACGGGTGTCGAGGCGCTGAGAACGCGAGCCGGGGGTTCCGCAGATGCGCCCCGGTGCGTCTCCTCTCCCCGCGGCGGTGGCACGCGGAGACCCCAGACGGGGTCCAGGTGGCGGGAAGAGGACGCGCGGGCAGCCGCCTGCACGGGTGACTTACCTCGGGCCGCCTGGGGCGCCAGCAGGGCCCCGGCCAGGGCCAGCAGGAGGGCGCGGGCGGGGGGCGCGCGCCTCGGCGGGCGCTCTGCCATTGTCGCCGGCCTGGCGTGCAGCTGCTTCGGGGGCCCAGCAGCCAGCGCTGCAGCATCCCACGCGGGCGCAGAGCCGGGGGAAGTCCTACTGCCCTGAGTCTGCCGAGACCCCCTCACGCAGCGCCCCGGCTGCGGAGCTGAGAGTCTAGCCTTTCATTTTTTTTAAAAAAAACTTTCTCCCCTCCCCGTGTGTGTGCGTGCGCGCGCGCGCTACTCTGGCACGAGCCGCCCTTGACCGTTGCAATAAATGAGCAGCCTGTCCGAGTTGGCGCCGGGGACCAGCGATCTGAGGGCGGGCCTGTGCAATGGATCCGCGGCCAGCAGTCGCCGTTCTCATTACCACGGAACAAATTAGCGTCTCCCCCGCACCCCGCCCGCCAGCGGCGTCCCGCGGGTCCTAGAGACCGCTCCGGGGTCCCTGCCCGCCCCGGTCCCGCCCACTCCCGGGGGCGACTGGATGCAGGATGTCCCCGGACACCGAGTACGGGCCGCCCGCGTAGACCCGGCTCCGTGGCGGCGACGGCGCGGGAACGCACACTTCCCAGCCTCAGGATGATGTGGCCACGGGGCCTGGGCGCGGGCAGCCAAGAGCACACGCGGCGGCGGGGTCCAGCTTTCCAGACTGAGGCTGGAAAGGATGACTGGGCTGTTAGCTGCTGGCTAGCCGGGAACCGGCGGGATGAGAGGTCTGGGATGTAGTGCACAGCCAGGCTGACTCTGGCTGCCGGGTCTCAAGGCCCCAAACCCGCACCTCACACCTGAAGAGTAAAATTGAATTTACAGCACCAGGCGCTTAGGCACGGTGCTTTTGGTGTAATGCTCTGTTTTTGACGCTGATAGATTGGCTAAAGTTTCCTTTTGGTCGTCTAGACCCAGGAAAAGTCCAGATACCTTCCAACTTCAGTGATTTTAAGAAGCTGGTTAGAGATTCAGACTCCAACACGCTTAGTGATTTGCTCTCTGAATCCTAACATTTGGGGGCCTGACTCTGCAGGAGAATTACTGCAAGTTTGAGGCTAACACAAGGGGTTACACCGTGAGTTCTAGGTCAGCCTGGGCTATAAAGTGAGATTCTGCTCCCCGCCCCCCCCGCCCCCAAATCGATGGTGGGCAAGGCTGGTCAGGGAAGAGAAAATGCCAATTGCCAGGCATCCCCTTATGTCTTCAGAATGAGCTGCTCCCCCAGAGCACAGCTAGGCAAGTGCCAACAAAGGGATGGAGGGTCTCACTTCACCTCAGAGCCCGAGCCGTACCCCCATCTTCTGCCTGACAGTTTTTTTTTTCCTCCTGAGAGCTATGTGAGAAGCAGCAGGAGCCAGGCAGACAGAAGAGGCAAGACATCTGGAGAATGGTAAGCCACCGTGGTTCCTAACCCGGGTACTTCTTAGAATTATAAGGACTCAAGGGGATGTCATCCCAATCCAGGCCAGCGAACTCAGAACCTGGCAGTTTTCCAAGCTCCAGCAAGATTATACAGCAGCTGAGGTTCAGGCCAACCCTAGAGATTGTGTTCTGATCCTACAAGCTCCCCTGTGCTGGAACAGTTACCCAGCATGAGAGAAATGGGGTTGGTGAGGGCTGGGTTCCTTACTCTCTCCTGGAAACCCACCTTACTCACCAGCTGCCTCCCACCAACAGCAGTTTGTGGCAGTCTCTCACTTCACATATGACACAGGACCTTACAAAGTGAGCTACTTCATGCTCAAGTTGGAAACAAGGCCCTGGAACAGGCACCATTTGAAATCAGCCTTGTGTGTATGTCCTTGTGTTCATTCAGAATTGATAATGTTCCATTAGGGACTTGGGAAATCAAGCTGTAGAGAAATACCTCTTACCTTCAAAGGCTGTTCTTTTTGTTCTGTTGTGATGGTGTTTCGCTATACAGCCCCACGGGCTGTCCTGGAATTCACCATATAGACCACACAGGCCTTGAACTCACCAGGATCTGCTTACCTCTCTGCCTTGCAAGTGCTGGGGTTAAAGGTGTGCACCGCCACGCCTGGCAGGCTTTTCAGTCTTCGAGTACAGTCCAGCAAACCATCATGACTGGGCAGTGTGTGCGTGATAACTAGGTTTGATTACTACATTATTATGCATGATGTATGGTCTTTATGATCTGTGATAGAGGATGCCACCTACATCCTATCACGTCAATGTACAGTCGTGCCAACTGGCTTTTCCACAGCCACACGGTGAAGAACCCAGTCTCAGACCCGTCTTTGGTGCAGCCTATGTCTTTGGCCCTGGGTTCCAACCTTCCCTCTTAGTGTAGGCTAAGCCATACTTCTCGAGAGGTATTATAGCCCTGAGGACCTGATGCGAAAGACTTCCCACCCACCTGCTCCCCAAGGTACTCAGTAAAGACATCCATCCTTTGGCCTTTTACATTTGGGCTCTGCTGAGAAAGATCCAGAAGGACAGGTTTATGTAATCCTGCTGTTCTGTAGAAGATCAGAAACACCAAGCAAAGGGCTTAGAAGTTATTTCCTTTGAGGTCACCAGGATATAATGGCTTTAGGATGGACTCAGCCGTTAGCCCAAACCACTGATCACACAAAGGGTTTGTTCATGTGTGCCGGGGGGCTTTATACACTCACTTAATATTGTTTTCTTTTTGCTGTTTAGTACTCTGCTGTTGCTCTCTACTGTAAGAAATAATAATAATAAACTTATCTTCTTTTGAAGCAGAAGTTGGCAGAGCCGTCTCCAAAAGGCCAAATATGCCCCAAGACTGTCTTTGGTGTTTGAATGGAACCAGACACTCATTGTAGAAAGAGAAATAGAAAACTCTAGCCCCAAGTCCTGCCTTCCCAGCCTTCTGATTCACTGTGGCTGTGAAACATGGGCCTGGCTGCCACCCCATCCATAAAAACTTCACGTCCATCAGCTGCAGCCAGCAAGGCAGAGTGCTAAGCTGGCCTCCGGCAGATGGTCTGCCTTCGGATGGGAATTCTGCCTCCTCATTCACAGGAAATGGAAGCCGACATGGCATTCAATAGGGGATTGTTAGGTAATGGTGTGGGGTCAGAGGCCAGAATCCACTCATTAAAATTTCAGATAGATGGCGTGTTGTCCCTTCCTTTCTAGAAGAATTGACCTTTGCAATACTCTTTCCTGTGTGCTATTTTTGTCTAACAGCCTGGGCATTCACAATGAACAGGGGGCACTTATTTCTTACCCAAGCTTGCATTGAGCTCAATTCCCATTGAGTACAAGCAGAGGAAACACGGAGGCAAATTCTCCTCCAGAGCTGAGATTTTACAGGCAGCCTCTCCAGTGTGGGCAGCTTGACCTATTGATGGAACTTGAGATAGCTCACAACACAGCTTCTCTCCCCCAGCACAGTTCCCAAGGCGTGCTGCAAAAGTAAACAAACACAATGGCCCCCGCAGTGGAGATTCTTGGAAATCTTGTTAATTCCCTCTCTTAAACTGAAATCCCTGCTCCTCTCAGCCTGTAGCAAACACCATCCATTTTCCTAGGCTTATTGTCTTAGATTTTCTCCTTCTTAGAACCCAGGTCTTCACCTCAACAGACTGCCCCCAGGGAGTCTCTTCCAGGCAGATGCCGCAACCCCTGACCTTCCACCCCCAGAGTCCATTACCACACAGACTCAATACTTAAGTGGGATGATGGTGGATGGGCACTCATGGATGCTGAGGGAAAGTCGACAGAAGGAAAGGGCACCCCATCTGTATTTAGGCGTCACCTGCCACTTGGAATTTCTCAGCCTTGAGACTCCCAAGCTCCCAAAAATGAGTAGAAAGGCAAACAGGATAACCACAAAAAGAGATGGGTTTGCAAGAATGATCCAGATGTTCAGTGATATTCGTTCCTTAAACCAGGGTGAGCAGAGCAGCCCCTTTGGGCCTTGGCGACACTGCTGGAATGTGTGAGTCCTAAGTCTCCTTACTCAAGTCACCGAGCCCACCTGAGGATACTCAAGCAGCCCCGCGGAGGAAGACTGTGGCCAGGAAGCAGGATCTGAGTGTGGCGTGAATGAGGTATTCCGTAAGTGACTCTTCCAATCTCAAGTGTTCTGGTGACAGTGGCTCAGGACTACAACCGGAGGAAAGACTCAAAGTCAAGGCTCAGCCCCGCTGCCTTCAAACTCCTGGCGCGCAGAATGACGATGCACAGTGAGATGATGTACTTTGTGTTCTGAACTATCAAATTCTTTGAGGGGTAGGCACGTAACCTGTTAGACCACGATAAAAAGCACACATTTTCCAAAGCAAATATCCATGCCTATGTGTGTTTCTAGCTCCCAGGATTTCTGTCTCCTCCAAAGGCGTCTTCCTTGTTCTTGAGCACTGAATATGAGTTCCAATGCTCCTCAAAAAGTAACATGGGCTCCCACAGGCCAGGCAAGCTGGAGTTTATTGGGGCTAAGGGAACTTGAAAGTATTTTGGGAGTCAGTCAGGGTCTCCATGTCTGGTCTTTAGCAGATTTCCCCATAGGGGAAGAGGCAGGATCTTCTTTACAGAAACCAAAAGGGAAGGCCAAGCCTCATACCTGTGATAAAATTCCTTCCTTACCTGACCTATCTAGTGGCAAATTAGAATGACTGCTTCTTAATACCCGCTCTTAAAACATGACAACAATTGGACTCAGGCCTCTTATCCCATGCCTGAATTCAGTTCCTACCCCACCCCACCCCCCTTGCTGTTTTAGGCAGATCAGCCTCATTTTCTCTAACACGCCTCTCAACCCCCATTCTCACACTCTGCAGGCAGGATTTTTGCTGTCCTCTGGGCCTATTCCAGAATCCTGATTTCTCTCAAGTTAGAAGGCCAAATGTAGTTGCAGAGCTCCTGGAAGGGTCTACACAAGGCCAATGGAGACCTAGGGCTGCCTTGTGTGCTGCGATCTCTGCAGCAAAGACCACTAACTCCTCTGTGGAACTCTGGCCTAGTTGCCACTTTGGAAGGGGGAAGCAAATACAGGCAGTTCTGGGACACTGCTTCTCTGGGTGGGCCTCAAACTGTACCCTGACTGCTGACTGGCCTGCTAGTGGTACAAAGACATACAGACACACAGACACACAGACACAGACACACACACACACATACACACACACACAGAGAGAGAGAGAGAGAGAGAGAGAGAGAGAGAGAGAGAGAGAGACTGGACTTCACAAAAGGTATTTCAGTCCTTCAGTCCATTTCCTGGATCCCAGTAATGGTCTATATTTCCCTCCACTCTGCATCCTGCTGGATATGCTTATCTGGGGCCCCTTCCTCCCATTAACCCTCCCATAGACACAGGCAGAAAAGACACCCAGACACCCCATCATGGGGGGGGGTTGCCCATAATACTAGAATTTAGGAGGCTGAAATAAGAGATTGCTATTGGTTTGAGGTCAGCCTGGGCTACACTGGGAGACCTTGTCTCAATGAAACAAGACATCCAGAGGTTTTAGGGTTGTGCCAGCTGTTCCTCCACTAACACTCCAGTCTAAGGTCTTGAAGCGATCATCTCTACCAACTTCAGATGCAGCAGGACCTTTACTGTGGCCTCGCCATTTCCAGTGCCCATGAGGAGCTGACAGGTTTTCAGGGTCATCGCGGACTTCAGAACTAGCTCCATTCTCCTTCATGCAGCACACAGGTTCCCTGGGATTAGCAGGACACCAAACTGGTGTCCCCACCCCAACAAAGCCTTTAATCTCACTCACATTGTCAAAACACCTACCATGCGATGGTATCCTTCCAAGGCCAGCCTTACAGGCCCCAGCCCAGGCAGCGCCAGTTCTGTGATGTCCTCCTACACTTGGGTGAGTGAACACTTCCTTTTCCTGTCTCCTGATCCTCTGAGGCTGACCACTAACCGTGGTCATTATGACTGTGCATACCTGTCTGCCATACAAGACGAGCATGTGTGTGTCAGCACCTGTCTGGACCACTCCCTGATAGGACCACACCTTGACCAGAGCTGACACAGAGAAGGACCGGAATTGCTGGTTGAGTGCAGATGTGAGCCACCGTGCTGCCATGTTTCTTTGTGGATCTTTACCAATGTCCTTTCCCATCATTTTCTGATCCAAATTCAACAGGGGTGGTTCTCTGGAAGTGTATCTATTGCTGGGGTCCAAAAAGATAAGTGGACAATATTTCATTTCTCCCAAGCCACTGTCCCAATAGCCTTCCTAATTATTCTAGTTAAGGCCCATTACCATCGCAAATCAAGTCAGACCTGACTTCCAGAGAGCTGCAATCTGTGCATGTTTTATATTCTAAACCCCCTGATTTTTAACTAACTCTATTACTTCTAGTACTATTTCTTTTTTTAACAAAATGAAACTCTCCTAAGGCTCCAAACAACCTCAAACCGTGTTTTGTTCTAGTAACCAGACAATGGATAAGCTTGTGGTTACTTGAGGATATTGCCAACAATGGAAAAATTAGATGAGAGCCTGAGTCAGAATAATTTGAAACCAGAAATGTGTGTTGGTAATAACTCAGAAAGTCACATGGCAGAGCCTCAGAGACAAAATCAAATTTGATTTTTTTTTTTATCATAGCCTCGTGTATTAGCGAGACCATTCCACCTGGTAGGATGCCAAGAAACCTTACAAAATCTAGTGTTGATAAATCAAAATCCTTCAGCATCAGGCAAACCCCATGTCTCTTAGGGATGCAAGGCAGACAGTCTTGTGTACCTTATGGAAAAAGGATCTACCGTGGGCAGGAAGCTGTGGTGTCATTTAGGAAGAGAGTGTTAAAGTCCGGTGACAGCCATCCCCCACGTCTGAAGCCAATTGGGTGCTTTTTCATCACCTGGAATGAGGCTGTGGTGGCATTCCAGGTGGGGGCCTGGGTGCAAGTCGGAGTCCACGTCAGTTCCTCTGCACCGAAGTGCCGACAGCATGATCCAATAGTGTGGTTTTGCTATTCAAAACCACTGCCTTACTCACCTGTCTGGAGTGGGGAAGGGGATACTTACTCTCCCCGCAGAAACTGCATGCCAGGCTTCCTCTTCACCCTTGGGCTTACATCAGTTACATGGTCCTACCTGGTGACTCTCCATTCCTGGGAAAGAAAGTGCTTGTGGCTGTGATTGGTACAACAGAGCACCTGGTGTCACCAGCCCCACCAGTTGGCCCTTGGGTCCTTCTCAGGACAGTTCTCTGGAGCCTCTGGAGTCTAAGCAGGAAGTCTATGTAGTTGAATCCCGCTTCCGTCTGTTCCATTTTATGGAGGTTGACCTATTTTTATGACCTTTTTCCTGACCTACTTTTAAGTACTATTTTTGAGAGTGACACAAAACTCTCTAGTATCTTAGCAAGAAAAGAAAGGAAGGAAGGAAAGAAGGGAGGGAAAGGCAGAGAGAGAGACAGAGACAGAGACAGAGACAGAGAGAGACAAAGAGAGAGAGAGAGGGAGACAAAGAGAGAGAGAGAGAGAGAAAGAGAGAGAGAGAGAAGAAGAAGAAGAAGAAGAAGAGGAGGAGGAGGAGGAGGAGGAGGAGGAGAAGGAGGAGGAGGAGGAAACTCCATACAGCATACCTGTACAAACACACCAAAGAAAAATGGCTGCACTAATGTTACACAATGGTCATTTGGTTTTTGTCACAGAAAATAGAACCACAAATTTGTCAGGAATACTTAAAAAATACTAATGATCCTTTCAAAATTATGTACACATACATGTGAACACACACACACACACACACACACACACACACAGGAGAAGGAGAGGGGGTTGGGGGAAGAGACAGAGGGAGAAAGACTTATTAGATGTTTATTTTCTAAAATGCTCCTGCAGGATAATGTCAGTGCCTGTTGGTGGAGAGGCTCCTTTACAAACAGAAGCCAGGCAATGCCTGTGTGTTTCCTAGATTCAGGCGCAAATGGCTCTCTGCTTAGGGACAGTTTAGCCAGAGGCTGCCTGTCTGAAATGTTACCCCACACTCAGCCGGTGGACTGAAAATTACATATCTGTTTTACAAGAGAGATTTATGTTCTGGACAGCAAATGGCCAGACATCCAGTTCCCGGGTGCTAGTTAAAGGCCCACCTAACAATAATGCCATGATAATGGCATTTCTCGTTTAATGAGTATTTATCACGGCCCAAACACTTCATATATGTTATTTATAAACATCTCTATTGCCCTGTGAGGCAAAGACATGGTTCCAATGTTACGATGAAAATCTAAGACCCAGTAGTACCAAGGTACTCCAGACTCACAACCAGCAAATAAAACAGAAAGTGGGTCTTAAACCCAGATAGGCCTCACTGTGGCATCTGTATGTATGTGTGTCTGTATGTGTGTGTGTGTGTGTACATGTGAATGGCAACCTGACTGTGTGTGTGTGTGTGTGTGTGTGTGTGTGTGTGTGTGTGTGTGCATGCTTGTGGAGACCTTGGAACAATTTCAAATCTTGTTTTTTCCTGGGCTCCACCTACCTTGTTTGGTTTGTTGAAATAGGGTCTCCCCTTGGGACCTGGGGCTCTGTTGTCTCTGCCTCCCCAGTGCTGAGATTACAGGGACAGGCCACCAGGCCCAGCTTTTGACATGGGTGCTAATTACGCAGCAATGACTTGGGTCTTTGCAGTGACGTGGCAGGCACTTTACTGGCGGAGTATTTCTCTAACTACCTTCCTTCAGAAGCTCTTTTCCCCCAGCGGCACGGCTTCCAGTAGAAGGATAGTCTGCTGAGAATTATACTCGAACCCTGGCTCATCCCATGAGAGTTCACTACCTGTTCTTTTCGTTCTCTTACCTCCTAGAAAACAGTGGTGCTTTTTAAAAAAAAAAACAAAAACAAAAAAACAAAAAACACTGATCAACTTAAAATGGAAAAACACCGAAGGCAATGTCATATTCTTGATGAGATCCCAAAACAGGACATCGGTGGGAAATAAGAAACAGAAATAAAATCCAAAGTCCAGTTAATAATAATATATTAATGGTGCTTCTTGCTTTATATATATATATATATATATATATATATATTTAACAACGGTGCTGTGCTATTTTAGGCATAGACACCAGGGAGACCTGGGTGAAGGAGATTTGGGGCTGCCCATGCTTCTGGTGGCTTTGCTTGCTTTGTTCTGTTTTTGAGATGTGCTCTCTCTTTCTCTAGGGTCCAGACTGTCTGTGAAGGTATAGCAATTCTCCTGTCTCAGCTTCCTGAATGCCAGGATTACAGACACAAAGCCACCGTAGTCAGTTCCTTCATGTGACTTTTCCTAATTCTGAAGATATTCTAAGGGATAGATGGGAGGAGAGAAGGAAAAGCAGGGGTTCTCCTGTGAGCCCTGAGTGTCCAGACACCTGACATCAAGAGCCACATAGTCTGTGACTTGTTGCAGGCTGGCAGGCATTGGACTGATGTTTCCCAGTTACCCATTAGTACTTTAGGGTGAACATGCTTATTTCAAAGAGTTAGGGACTGGGGACTTGGCCCAGTCTTTAAAATGCTGGTCTTGAAAGAATGAGGACCTGAATTCCATCCCTAGAACCCACATGTTCTGCTGAAACTTGTGCTTGGATTTTAATCCAACCTGTGAGATCTGCTTATAATCCTAACACTGGGGAAGCAGAGACAAAAGGATCCCAATGCTCACTTACCAGCCAGCCTAAACTACTTGACAAATTATAGGCTAGTGAGAGACTCTGTCTCAAATTAACAAAAACAGCAATATGGTAGATGGTTCCTGAGCAATGACACCTGAGGCTGCCCTCTGGCTTCCACACACATGTGCATACAAACACACATACCCATACACACACAAACAGACACACACACACAAACAGGCACACACACACACAATATGTGGTAGGGTTTTCTCCCTTTGTATTTTCTTAATCAAGAAAAGATTGGAATTGCAACCCAGAATAAAAACTTATTATTAAATAGTCTCAGAAGCCAGAAAGAGAAAAATAGTTGGTATATGGTATGTGCTACTGTTTATCCAATAAATCACGATTTGAGTTCATGGGCATAGATTTGCACTATTATAGTATTGCTTTTCAAACGAAGTATAAGCTAGGCTTATTTTTTATATGGGGACTGAGAAGAAAGGGAGGGAGACAGGCTTCTCTAAATACACTTGATGTGTAGGTCTGGTGTTTGAACCACAAAACCATTCTTTTCTTTCAAGACTTACTTATTTTTATTTTATGTGCATGAGTGTGTGTCTGCATGCATGTCAGTGCATCAACATGTGTGGAATGCCAGAAACCACAAGGGGACATTGGAGCTCTTGGAATTAGAGTTACAGACACCTGCAAGCCACCAGGTGGGTGCTAGGAATCAAACTGAGGTTCACTGAAAAGAACAGTCGGAGTTCTGAACAGCCAATCTATCACTCCAGCCTCAATACAGAAGTATTTTTTATATAATTGCAAAGTAAATATAAACATTAAAAAATCAGCCCCCAAGAGTCAAAAGCAAAATGAAATAAATAAACCTGGTTATTGACTGATTTGCTGTATAAGTTTAAAGAGAGAATGACTATTCCATCTAATACCTAAGATGTTGAAACATGAACTTGATTGTGCTTCTTTAGGAAGGTATCCAAAGAACCAAAGAGAACTATGAAAGAAGAAAAAT